TGTGACCTTACCGGGATGGAGGAGAGAAATCTCTTGTGTTTTTTCCTCTCCATGTAAGCCCACCAGTCCTATTAAATTAGAGTCCCACCCTTAGGACCTTATTTAATTTGAACTACCTCTTTAAAGGTCACCCTTATGACCTTATTTCATTTGAACTATCTCTTCCTCCTATATCTCCAAATATAGTTGTATTCGGAGATAGTGGAGTCAGGACTTCAACATATGAATTTTAGGGAACAATTCAATCCATGACCCTTAGGAAGGAAATAGTCCTCAGGCTTCATTGTTGGCTGCTGGATCTGGTGGAGGCTTGGCTCTCTAAATATCCTTTCCACCAATTCTCCTGTTTTCAGCCCTGTCTCTGTTCCCCACCTTCTGACGGAACAGGCACCTACAATGACAGAACCATTCTGGGATTCTGCTGCATGAATCAGCTAGCCTGTTGTGGCATTTCCCCTGTGTAGGTGCCTTGCAAAGTGAAGAAAGATGGTGAGACGTAGTTTCTAGCTATATCCTTCTCATCTTCCAAATATGTGTTGATCTTTCTCATCTGCTACTGTTTCTCCCTTGCTCTTTTTGTCGATGTTGGTTTTTACCTTAAAATTCTTTTCTCTAAGAAATCTGAGGTGCAGTAATAGAGATAAAAGTGTGTTCAGTCTGCCATTTTACACTGGAAATGAGTCATTGATAGAATAAGCAATGTTATTGATTGTTCTAATGTTAATCAAAGGTACATTGCTGGGATTAGACCTATTGGTCACAATTTTTTTTCTTTTTTGGTTATTCTATTTCCCCTTCTCTACCTTATTTTGGATTATTTACACATTTTTGATATTTTATTTATTGCCATGTTTTGTATGTTTTTAAGTGGAGTAGGAACTACACTGTATATACTGAACTTCTCACTGTCTACCTAGAATCAATATTTCACCACTTCAATGGAATATGTAATTCTTACCACCATATAAGTCCCTTTTTCTGCTCCTCTATTTTTTATATATTATATTTCACATTCTCTTATGGGCCAAATTGTATGCACCCCAAATCCATATATTGATGTACTAATCCTCAGGACTTCAGAATGTGACTGTATCTGAAGCTAGGGTTTTTAAATATGTAATTCAGTTAAAATGAAGTTAAAATGAGGTCCTTAGAGTGAGCCTTAAGTCAATGTGACTAGTGTCATTATAAGAAGAGGAGACTTGGACGCAGACACAGAGAGGATCGTGTGAAGACACAGGAAGAAGATGGCCATCTACAAGCCAAAGAGAGAGGCTCCGGAAGAGACCAACCTTGCTGGCACCTTGCTCTTGGAATTCTGATCTCCAGAAATATGAGAAAATTTTATTGTTTAAACCCCACAGTTTGTGGTACTTTGTTGTGGTAGCCCTAGCAAACTAATACACATACTTTTTGCCTTCAAAAATCAAACATATTTTAAAGAATTTATAAGAAGAATGGTTTACTATGTTTACCAGGATATTTATCATCATCGTTGCTCTTCTTTCACTCCTGGTGATCCGGATTTCTCTTAATAATATTTCCCTTCTGTCCAAATAACTTCCTTTAGCGATTCTTTTAGAGTAGGATTGCTGGCAACAAGTTTTCTTAGTGTTCCTTCATCTAAAAATGTCTTCATTTCCCTTTTGTTCTTGAAGGACATTTTCACTGGTATAGAATTCTGACTTGACAGTTGCTTTATTTTAGCACTTGAAAAATGTGCCACTTCCACCCCAACAAAATAATCATAGGATCTGAAAATGTGGTGCAGACTTGGTAGAAATGGAAAAGAAGAAAAACACGTAGAGTTACACAGATTGTTCTGAGTGTAAAGGAGAATTGGATCCTATCTGATACCATAAATGTATAAATCTGAATACACATCTCAGATCACTATGTGCAGTGACAGTTTGTCCTTTGGCTGAGGGTGAGGACTCTGAGTACGTTCAGACACAGACAATACAGATCCAACTCTTTTTCCTTATTCTCACTTTAAGGCTATTCCTAACAAAGCATATGCACAATCAAGGAAATGTTAGGGAAAACATCACCACCAATTGGACCAGGAACAAAACACTGATCATAAAGTCTATGGGCTTAGACAGACGTTTGAAAAAGATAAGAATTGTAATGAAAAAATAAGCCATTATAAACCCAATGCTATTTCGCATTGGAGAATATGTTATATTGGACAAAATAAAGTTTGCTAAAACCTGTTTCCTCATTTTTATGATAATATCTACTATTTAGTGTTGTATTTTATGAATGATATTTTAGTAGAGTTGTTGGCATTCTATTTGACATATATTTAAGTCAATAAATATATGCCAAATATATATTTGACATATATATGATATATAGAATATATTTATATATTATATATGACATATATATTTGACATACATAAATATACAAATATATATATTAATCTATTAATATGTCACAAAAGAGAAAGTGCCACTTCCTTCTGGCCTCTATGATTTTAGATGTGAAATCCATGGTCATTTGAATTATTATCCCACTATATATACTTTGTCATTTCTGTCTGCTTTCAAGATGTTTTTATTGTCTTAAATTTTCAGAAATTTAATTATGATATGTCTGGGTATGGATTTCTTTGGGTTTCTCCTGTTTGAAGTTTAGTCAGGTTTTTCAATCTCTAGATTTATGTCTTTCCCCAAATTTGGGATATTTTCATAATTTCTTGAAATAGTTTTTCAGTCCTGAATTCTTTCTTTGATCCTTCTGAGATTTTGATGACACAAATGTTAGATTTTTTTGTTATTGTCCCACAGCTCCCTGAGTCTTTGTTCACACCTTCCTCCTAAACTTGTCTCTGTTGTTCAGATTAGACAATTTCTATTGATATACCTTCTTTTCTTTCTTTTTTTCTTTTTTTTTTTTTTTTTGAGGCAGAGTCTCGCTCTGTTACCTAGGCTGGAGCGCAATGGTGCGATCTTGGCTCACTGCAAACTCCGCCTCCCGAGTTCACGCCATTCTCCTGCCTCAGCCTCCTAAGTAGATAGTCCCCTGCCACCACGCCTGGCTAATTTTTTGTATTTTTAGTAGAGATGGGGTTTCACCGTGTTAGCCAGGATGGTCTTGATCTCCTGACCTCGTGATCTGCCCAACTTGGCCTCCCAAAGTGCACTGTGAAGAGCCCTGATGACTATGAGCCACCGCGCCTGGCTTTATTGATATATTTTTAAGATCACTGGACTCTTTCCTCTGTCATCTCCATTCTGCCACTGAGCCCAGCTAGTGAGTTAAAAAAAATTAATTTATTGTATCTTTCAGTTCTATTATTTTCAGTTTTGTTCTTTATATCTTGAGTATTTTTCGGAGACCTCTGGTTTTTCCATTTGCTTGAAGAGGGTTCATAATTTCTTGGAGCATTTTTATGATAACTGCTTTAAAATCCTTGTCATAAATTCCAACATTTGTGTCACTTTGATGTTAGTGTCTGTAGATTGTCTTGTCTTTCAGATTTTCCCTGTTCTTGGTATGATGAATAACTTTGATGAGTAACTTTGGATTGTATCCTAGACATTTTGAGTATTACATAATGAGACTCTGGTTTAGAGGCAATCAACCTGCTTGGGCTCAAAACTCATGTCGTATTCACTTTTGTGGGCTGTGGCTTGAATGTCGATTTAGTTTTTATAGCATTTGCCCTGATCTTCTGATCTGCTCTATATAGTGTGTTATCCGTAGGTGAATTGAAATCTATATGATATTTCTCACCGTAGTTCAGTTCCCAAAACTTTACTATGTTGACGCCAGTTGATTTCACACATGGACCATTTAGGGGTATGCACAGGACTTCATACACAGATTTAACAAGATTTCTTTATCCAGTCCCCTCTTCTCCATAATCCTTCCTCACTCTCTAGCTGAGAGGAGGTAGGGCATTGCCTCTTTGCTGAAGAGATGCTTCAGTTAGTAAGTACAGGGTGGTGGAGTGTTTCTCCCTGCAGTTCATGTGGGTTCTGTGGTCGCTATGCCATTGAGGAAGGGAAGGGGCACTGCTTCTTTCCTCATCCTGTCTTGGTTTAGGGCAGGAATGGTCAACAGAGCTCCAACCCATTCCAGTGAGGAGGGGAAGGCACGGTACTTTTGCTGTTAGTGCCAGGCAAGGATGGTCATCAGGGCTCTTCACAGTGCCTGGTGGGGATGCAGAGAGATGCAGTTCTTTCATGGTGTTTGTCTGAAATACAATGAGTATATTCAAAAGCGTTCTGTCTTGCAGCACTGTCCTCTTCCACATCCTTTGGCTAAGGGGATTGATTCTCAGCTGGGGATAATTTTATTCCCCCAGATGACATCTGCCAATGTCTAAGACATTTTTGGTTGTCACAACTGGAGGGTTGTCACTGACATCTAGCCAGGGATGCTGCTCAATATCCTATAATACAGAGAACAAGATCCTACAGCAAAGAATTATCCAGCTCCAAATCAACAGTGCCAAAGGTGAGAAACCCTGAGGGAGAGAGTAGACTTTTCTTGGAGCTTTTTGTTTTTTGTACTTATTCCATCTTGTCCAGAAATGAGAGTCCCTTTAACATTTTAATGTATTACTTTTTAGTCCTTTATCATCTATCACTGATGAGAATTATAACTTATAATTTATTTTTGGATAAATTGTCTTCCTCTGGTTGATTTTAAGAATTTCTCTCTCTCTCTTTTTTTTTTTTTTAAATCTTACATTTAACCATTATGGGTATAGTGTGGATTTGTTTTTATTTAGACATTTTCCGTCTTAATTCTCACTTTCTAATTTTGGAAAATTCTTAGTCATCTCTTTGAGTATTATCTCTCTCTCTCATTCCCTTCTTTCCTTCTTAGACCTCTTTAAACTGCCATATGCTGAAGCATCTCTTTCTGTGTTTCTTATCTGTTAACTATGCATTGATTCATATTCATATTCTTTATTTCTCCTTTCTCCCTTCTCCACACCTTCTTTTTGGTAACTTCTCCAGATTTTTCTTCCACTGCGGTAGTTTTTTTTTTTTTTTCAGGTAAACTGGTCATTTATTAGCAGTGGTACTGTTTGGCATAACAGGTTTCCAGTAAATAGGCATGGAGTTGCATGGTGGTGACAGAGCAAGGCACAGACGCAGGACAGCATCTCTCACTTCTTCCACTCGTTCTTGTCATAGTCCCATTTGGCGGCAAAGCCCTGCACGGGGTTCACCTCATGTCCAGCACCCTCTTGGTCTGCATGGCCCACCCACTATTTGTCAAAGATGTGCGGGATGGGGCCGTACAAACAGCTCTTCTCCCAGATGATAATCAACGCCGTGAAGCCAATGAAGAACATGGCAGCGCCAACAACCGTCTTCCACTCGTTCGCACCCCTGTTCATCTCCGCAAAGCTCTCCTTGAACTGAATGCAATACAACTCGACTTTCTCATCCATGGAGAGGTTGCTTCAGGAGGCCTTCTCCTCCTCCTTCAAGGCCTGCTATCTGGCAGACAGGTGCTTGACATGAGCCACATCAGGTAAGGGATAGTCACATCGATCCACATAAGCTGGGAGCGCATTGTCATCGCTCTTCACATCATTTCCGTGTGCTCGTACAGACGCCGATTTGGAAATTGCTCGCTTGCCAACTAGGCTAAATACCCTGGTAGGCAACATTCTGCCGCTGCTGTCCACCACCACCACCCTTTATGCCGGGTGTCCCGCGACCCCAGTACTTTTTTTTATTTGAAATGGAGTTTTGCTTTTGTTGCCCAGACTGGAGCGCAGAGGCGTGATCTCAGCTCGCTGCACTTCCAGCTCCCGGGTTCAAGTGATTCTCCTGCCTCCTGAGTAGTTGAGATTACAGGCACCTGCCACCATGCCCAGCTAATTTTTTGTGTTTTTAGTATAGATGGGGTTTCACCATGTTGGCCAGACTGATCTCGAACTCCTGACCTCAGGTGATCAGTCCACCTTGACCTCCCAAGGTATTAGGATGACAGGCGTGAGCCACCAAGCCTGGCCCAGCCCAGTAGTTCTTTTTAAAGGTAGCTCTGTTCTATTATTTAACCTAGCAATAGTTTTGTTTTCCACTAATAATAGTTTTTATTTATAAAATTTTATTTGGTTATTTAAAATAAATCTGTCCCTTTGCCAGAGTATCTTATTCCTTCACTATGGTTTCTAAATTATTTTAAACTTGACTGTTTTGTAGTCCATTTGATTCATCTATTGTTTTCACTTCTTAAGGTGTCAGTTTTCAGGTCTGCTGATTCACTGTCATGGTGATTCGTTTCCTCATGTGTTCTGTGATATTTAATTGTGCTAGTTCATCTTCAGTGAGTTTCCCATAAGCTTTGAGCTGTAAAATTATTTATTTCAATATCTGTCTGTAAGGACAGAGATTTTCATGTTGTGTTTACTGGATCCCTAGGAATTTTGGTGGTCCTGGATCACTTTTTATAGTAACAATTCATCTTGGAGTATTAAAAACTATATGGAGGAAACATTTAGACCCCTCATCCTGTGCAAGCCCAGGATTTCTCACGGGTGGCTTTTTTTTTGTGTGTGTGTGTGCCGGAGTCTTGTTCTTGTTGCCCAGGCTGGATGGAGTGCAATGGCACGACCTCAGGTTACTGCAACCTCCACCTTTCTGGTTCAAGCGATTCTCCTGCCTTAGCCTCCTGAGTAGCTGGGATTACGGGTGCCTGCCAACATGCCTGGCTAATTTTTGTATTTTTATTTTTATTTTTATTTTTGAGATGGAGTTTCACTCTTTTTGCCCAGGTTGGAGTGCAATGGCTCAATCTCAGCTCACCGCAACCTCTGCCTACCGGGTTCAAGCGATTCTCCTGCCTCAGCTTCCCGAGTAGCTGGGATTACAGGCACAAGCCACCATGCCCGGCTAATTTTGTATTTTTAGTAGAGACAGGGTTTCTCCACGTTGGTCAGGCTGGTCTTGAACTCCCGACCTCAGGTGATGCGCCCGCCTCGGCCTCCCAAAGTGCTGGGATTAGAGGTGTGAGCCACTGCGCCCAGCCAATTTTTGTATTTTTAGTAGAGACAGGGTTTCGCTGTGTTGGCCAGGCTGGTCTCAAACTCCTGACCTTGTGATCTGCCCACCTCAGCCTCCCCAAAGTGCTGGGATTACAGACAGTAGCCACTGTGCCCAGCAGTGGCTTTTTTTTTTTTTTTTTTTAATTTAAATTTTAAACTCAAGGACCAGGGTACTCAGCAACTTCCTCTCTCTCTCCTTGGGCTAGCGAGCAGGCTGTGTACAGTTTCCTTTTTACTTACAGGACTGTTCTTTAAGGTGCAGGGCTTTATTCCTGCAGGGAGGTGGAGGTGGAGCTTCCAATCCTCCTCTTTTTCCCTGTGGAGTCCATAGCCTCAAAGTCTGAAACTAAAATTCCAGTGGATTGCTGAAGCTCTGGCTTTGATTTTTTAAATTTTGGAATCTGGTAGATACTTGTCCTTTGGAAGTAAATTTTGCTTATTGGTTATATTTTATTCAGAATTTCCATGTGTTTTTAGTGGGAAGGATGCATCCATATCAGATTTACTTTTTTTTTTTTTTTTGGAGACAGAGTCTCGCACTGTCACCCAGGCTGGAGTTCAGTGGTGCGATCTTGGCTCACTGTAACCTCTGCCTCCCAGGTTCAAGTGATTCTCCTGCCTCAGCCTTCCAACTAGCTGGGATTACAGATGCCCGCCACTGTGCCTGGCTAATTTTTTGTATTTTTAGTAGAGACAAGGTTCCACCATGTTGGCTAGGCTGGTCTCAAACTCTTGGTCTCGTGATCTGCCTGCCTTGGCCTCTCAAAGTGCTGGGATTACAGGTGTGAGCCACCGTGCCTGGCTATTTTTTTATTTTTTTTATTTTTTTGAGACAGAGTCTTGCTCTTGTTGCCCAGGCTGGAGTGCAGTGGTGCAATCTCGGCTCACTGCAACCTCCGCCTCCTGAGTTTAAGTGATTCTCCTGCCTCAGCCTCCCGAGTAGCTGGGATTACAGGTGTGCGCTACCATGCCTGACTAATTTTGTATTTTTAGTAGAGACGGGGTTTCACCATGTTGTCCAGGTTGGTCTTGAACTCCTGACCTCAGGTGATCTGCCTGCCTTGGCCTCCCGAAGTGTTGGGATTACAGACGTGAGCCACCGCACCCAGCCCTGATTCACATTTGATATACAAGATCACCTGTCCATCTATCCAATTGTACTGGTATATAAATACTGCTTAGTGCTTTGTGTTGTTCTCTCTTGAAATTATTCATTAAACACATTGCTGTATTCCAATTACCTATTGTTTGAAAAAGATGTGTGTTGATATGGGTATATAGCATAGCATTCCCATAAAACCAGGCATGTGTTTGGAAATATTTCTGTTTCCAAAGCACTTGTTTTAGTTTCATTAAGGCCTTAAAGAAACTTACCTTTTTATAAATCCTGATCTTTTATACCCATTTTGCATATGAAGATAATATGAGAAATTGTTGCATTATTTGCTGTGATAAGACATTTTCAAGGAAGAAGGCAGTGTGTGCTGATTTATAATTTCAAGAATGGCAAAAAACAGTTAATAGACTGCTACTTTGAGCAGCACTGACTAGTGGAGTAAATGTGTATAAGGACCTGCCTTTTCACTAAATAGTACATTGCAAATGTTGTCTCATGAAAGGTGAATTTTTTTTTTTTTTTGAGACAGAGTCTCACACTGTCACCCAGGCTGGAGTGCAATGGCATGATCTTGGCTCACTGCAACCTCCTCCTCCTGGCTTCAAGTGATTCTCCTGCCTCAGCCTCCCAAGTAACTGGGATTACAGGCACCTGCCACCATGCCCAGCTAATTTTTTGTATTTTCAGTAGAGACGCGGTTTCACTATGTTGGCCAGGCTGGTCTCAAACTCCTGACCTCGTGATCCACCCACCTCAGCCTCCCAAAGTGCTGGGATTACAGGCATGAGCCACCGCGCCCGGCCAGGTGATTTTTTTTATGATTGATTTTATCAATCACCTTTTAATGGCCATTTAGGGATTTTTAAAAGATCAAAAAATACTGCCAGAATATTCCTGAATTTATCTTTTTACACTGTTTACTTCTCCTGGGTGTAGAACTGCTGAGTCAAAGGATGTACTCATTTAATATTTTGATGTTGCCAAATTTCCCTACAGAAAGAAATTTGCCTTCCCTACAGAAGGAAAATCAAAGTATGCAATTTATACTTTGATCAGCAGCACGTGGATAACAAAATCAAACAAAACTTTTCTACAAAAATACATTTTAAACTACAGATAATGGTACAAAAATTTTCCTATCTGGCTCACAGAAACTTTTCCTGTCTTTCTTAACTTACAAGTCCCAGGTGAGTAAGACCCACTCTTGTTGGCCTAGAACGGTGGTTTACAAAGTTACTGGACTAGTAGTGTTACCATCACCGGGAACTTGTTAGAAATTTAATTAATCAGAACTTATGTCAGACCCACTGATTGAGAAACCCGGTGGAGCGCAGCAATCAGTGGTTTGATTAGCACCCCAGGTGATTCTGGTACTTGCTAAAGTTTGGAAACCACTGGGCTAGGAGCAGCTTATCTTTATATGACCCAGAGGTCAGCTCAAGTCTTTACTCCCATATCCTTCACACAAATCATAGAATTCGAATTCCTGGGGGTTGATTTCTCATGGTCCCTTCCACCTCTTTGTGCCTGCCTCTGCGTGTCTTGATCGCTCTACTTTTCTGAGTGTCTTGATCGCTCTACTTTACTGCCGGTGGCTGCTCTTGTGTCTGCATTGCAATGACCCAGATGGGCAAAGGAAACGGAATCCATTTTCCTTAATTCACACAAACATCAGCAGTCCATTCACTTGAAAGGCATTTGAATATGTAGAAAACCAATGGATGGTTTGGAGGGATAGAAGTTTCTATCTTGGTAACATAAACAGTTTAAAATTGAGTATTAAATGTGCGCCTTCTGAAATCCTGTAGCCATTCTCCTACATTCCTTCCCCAGTCCCTCATTTTCTTCTCTGCTGCACCTCCCGTTGGTTTGCTTTTTTTTCTAGAGTGATTTACTAATTCTATTTGTTTCCTTGTCTTCTGTTGTAATAACCAGGATTTTTATTGCAGACGATACAACCTACTCAACTACTTTAAGAAAAAAGTCTCAACTATAGAGTTGTATGGCAGATTACAGAATTGATGAGAGGGCCGGGGAAACAAACTTGTTAGCCATTCAGTCATAGGTATCCTTTACATCCATTTATTTATGCCTATCTTAATTTCTTTCATTAGGCTTTTCTAAACTTTCACGAATAAATTTTTTGTGGCCTTAAATTAATATCCAGTTAGGTTTTTATTTTCTGTTATGATTTCATGCTAATTTTCTGATTGCTCTGCAGATTTTCCAATCTCTCCTACCTCCCCTGCAGACAGTACACTAACCCCTACTGATAGGAGGAGCAAGGGAAGTGATTTGAAGATAATAAGGCCACTTCCCCGTGACTGAGGCAGTTGAGCCTGCATTTGATGAGTTTGACATTGAGCTTGTCTTTCCTCCTGTTTGAAGACAGGATTTTGAGATTGAGGGGGTTTTGAATGATACTTCTGTTCAGTGGTCACTGTGTGCTAGTGAGCAGGGCCAGGCCTCCTCATAGGTGTTGATCCTAAGAGATTTCCATGAT